AACAGCAACAGCAACAGCAACAGCAACAGCAACAGCAACAGCAACAGCAACAGCAACAGCAACAGCAACAGCAACAGTAACAGCAGCAACAATAACAATAATAACAACAACAGCAACAACAATGGAAGTAATTCTAATCAAAGTTCAGTACCCCCATTTTTGAATATGCAGATGTTAGATGGCGTAATCGATCAATTTTTCGGTCAATTTACTAACAGTCGTACTTCATCATCTAATAATCGACAAGATGAAACTGCCTCCCAAAATTCCAATCGTAACAATAACAACAATAACAACAACAACAACAACAATAATAATAATAATAACAGAAACGGCAACCATCATAATAATAACCATAATAACAATAATAATAATAACAACAACAACAACAACAACAACAACAACAATAACAGCAACAACAACAACAATAACAGCAACAATAATAACAACAACAACAATCGTCCAAATGTACACACTTATACAAGAAACAACTATTATCCTATGCCACAATCGCAAAATTGGCGTACAGATATAAATGAAAATCATCGAAACAGAAATTCATCTTCTCATCGAACACGCGAATCAACAGCAACAACAACAACCACGACGTCATCTCAACCAGAGCTGAATAATAATATACCTGTTGGGACACCATCAATCAGCGATATCGTAAAGAATAAATATGATGTCTCTAAACTTTCAATTAAAAGTCTTAAAGAAATTCTCAAAGAAAATCGCGTTGATTTTTCAGGAATTGTCGAGAAATCCGAACTTGTTTTAAAGGTGAATCGTATAGTCGAGGCTACTAAAGAAGAGTTGGCTACCGATGTTGACGCTCTGAGTGATGATGCACTATGTAAAATTTGTTGCGATGCTGTACAAAATTGTGTTGTTTTGGATTGTGGTATGTTTTTCTTCTTTTAATTATCTAATATATCACTTATAATTCTCAATAACATCTTTTAAATATAATCATAGGTCATATGAGTACTTGTATGGATTGTGGGAAAAAGATGCAAGAGGCAAGAAACGAATGTCCAATTTGTAGAGAAACGATTGTTAAACTTATCAGAGTATATAGGGCATAAACATTTACAAACATTTTTCTTACAAGTTGACCGCAATATGCGTAATTAACTTTTTTTATATCATTTTTAAATATGTACAAATTTACGACATGGAATACAGAATTAGATATTTTTTATTGCATTAAATGTAAATGGGTGGGTGTATAGCAATAAGCCCTAAATTACCAATAGAAAGAATAGAAATTATCACATTATCTGATAAGATTGAATAATTTTTTCGAAAGCAACAAATTTAAGAAAACTGTTCCCCGAGTTCTATTTTTATATCGTCAAAACAATTCTAACTAAAAGACGACACAATGTCAAGGTTACCACCTGTCATTATGGATAATGGGACCGGGTATGCTTCTTTGCCGAGTCTTTTAGGAGACTGATAAATCGATTTACACAATTTATATTAATTATTGTGTACGAATTAGCTATACAAAGCTCGGCTTCGCAGGAAATAATGCGCCTTCGTTTGTTTTTCCGACAGCAATCGCCACTCGTGACTCTTCTTCAAAACGCGGAATCGAAGATTTAGATTTTTTTATCGGCAACGAAGCTATATCAAACTCGAAAACCTATGGACTTCATTTTCCTATTAGACACGGACAAATTGAGAATTGGGATTACATGGAACGATTTTGGGAACAGAGTATTTTCAAATATTTGAGGTGTGAGCCAGAGGATCATTATTTCCTTTTAGTACGTAGATCAAAATTGTATATTCTCTTTCCTTCGCCTTATGTTTACATAAATGCTCAATTTACAAGCGAAAAACCATTAATGAATTGTTGCTGTTTTAATTATCTGAATCAAGACCGAGCCACCTCTCAATGCGCCTGAGAATCGAGAACAAACAGCTGAAATTATGTTCGAATCATTCAATATTCAGGGTCTTTATATTGCGGTGCAGGCTGTTTTGGCTTTGGCTGCAAGCTGGACATCCAAAGAGACTAAAGATTATGTATTGACTGGGACAGTAATTGATAGTGGTGATGGCGTGACACACGTTATACCGGTGGTACGTGTTTTCAATAATTAATTAATTTAAGGCTCGATTCATGTTTGCTTGTCTAACCTGTCCCTGGATTAATTAAAGGTAGAAGGCTACGTTATAGGGTCTTCGATTAAACATATTCCAATCGCGGGACGTGACATCACTTACTTTGTCCAGCAGCTGTTGCGAGATCGAAATGAGAATATTCCCAAGGAAGAGTCCCTTAAAGTTGCTGAAAAAATAAAAGAACAGTTCTCGTATGTTTGCCCAGACATTGTGAAAGAGTTTCAACGTTATGACCAAGAGGGTGACAAATTCTTTCAAAAATATAAAGGAGTGAACAGCGTTACTGGAACTGTATGTATCGTCAATATGAATCTAATTAAGAAGTTTATCGTCATAACTACCATAAGTAACGAATTATAGTGTTATAGCCATATGAGGTCGATGTTGGGTTCGAACGTTTCCTTGGACCGGAAATTTTCTTTAATCCAGAGATAGCTTCATCGGATTTCCTAACGCCAATTCCTGAAGTGGTAGATAACGTCATTCAGTCTTGTCCGATTGATACACGTCGAGGATTATATAAAGTATTTTTCTAAGTGAGGTTATTCTCCGTTATCATGTATGAAGGTTGATCTTTTTTTTATTAAATTTATTTTGATATTTAGAATATTGTATTATCTGGCGGTTCGACCATGTTTAAAGGTTTTGACAAACGTCTTCAACGTGATATCAAACGCTTGGTGGATCTTCGTGTTAGAAGAAGTGAGGAATTAAGTGGAGGATTACTCAAGGTATTTGACAAGAGGAAAAAAAAATGATATCGAGCTTCTATTAATTTAAATCTTTATAAAAATTTTAGGCAACTGCAGTAGATGTCAATGTTGTATCTCATAAAAGGCAGCGTTATGCTGTTTGGTACGGTGGTTCTTTACTGGGACAAACGGTATGTCAATCAATACTCATGTCGGTATTATTTTTCTATTATTAACGGTTCATATGGTTTCTTCAGAGTGAATTCTACTCCTACTGCCATTCAAAAGCCGAGTATGAAGAACACGGCCCCAGTATTTGTCGGCATAATCGTGTTTTTGGAAGTTTGAAAACCTGATTCTCTATTCATCATCCTTACAAATAAAAAAGTATATCAAATAATAGATGAACATATATTTAAATTTTTATTTATTGTCTATATGTTTTTAGATTAATCAGAGGTTCTTGGGATTGTTAATAAAGATTTTGCATTATTTTTTGTGCATACATAAATGTTAAGACTTATAATTGATATATCATCCGGATTTAAATTTTCGAATACTAAGAAAATATTAAAAATTCTCAAGATTGCATATAAATATTTTTAAACATGAGGATTATAACTTGGAAAATAAAATATCTCAATAATTATTATAATAAATAATATAGAATTATACAAGAAATTTATACAATAGTCATCTATATAAATATTAATCTGTATTTTACATTTCACAAATTATATTGAATTTAAGATTTAAATACAATCCGATAATGTTCATGTTTTATCAAAGCATATCAAAAATTAAATATAGCAATTCATCAGAATTTGAATTATACTAGTAAAATGCTGATACAGAGCAATCTCCGTAGTGTACACGTGTATTTTTGTGTGACTTGTGTTTTGAATATGTCACTTTCAACGAGATATCTTTTTACAAATTCAAAAATAAAATTAGCAATATTTATTTTATAAACACTACTCTAAATTACTATAAATATGTTGATTTGAATTTCTATATGGTTATTGATTTTTACATAAAAACTTATGGATGCATGTAATGTGAATTAATGCGATATTTGGATTCCCCAAAATAAAAAGATGAATAAATGAATTGAAAATTATTAAAAATGCATGAGAATGATAATGATATAGGAAATGGATTGATTGCTTGTAAGTAATAGATTACCAGAATAACTTAATAAAAAAAAATTGATTTTAGTGATATCTGATAGAAACCCATAACAGAGAATCTGAATAAAATACAAATGTCATTAATATGTATGCTGGATTATTAAATGTAATCTGATTGATTTTTTCCTTTTCTCCCCGTCCATTGCGCCATATCAACCAAAAGAAACGAATAATTTCTTTTTCCTTATCCTTTTGACTCTCGCATTCATGTTTTTCCCTCATAATCCCAATCCCACTGTGATGATCAGTACACGCACCCCACCCCGGGGCAAGCATAAACCGGTATTATATAATTATATAGCTAATTCTCTTAGATTTTGAGTTAATATGATGTCAGTAACACTGCCCATTATATGTCGTAGTAAATTTGTATCAGTAGCATCAGTGAAATGAGGATATACTTCTTTTAAGTCACTACGATTCAGCCGTTGAAATCGTTTTTTGAAATAGTGTGACGTCTGCTTGAAATCATTATTTGGTCCTTGATAATCGGGAAAATATTTTTTAACAGGGGAAAATACAATCTTTTTTCGGAATATATCGATTTTGTTTAGGAATAGAATCATCGAGGTATTTGTGAACCATTGTGAATTACATATAGAATCGAATAGCATTAATGCTTCTAGCATCTGATTAGCATCTTTATCCTCGACTAAACATTGATCATAGCCACTAATTGCCACTAAAAATAAGACCGCCGTAACATCTTCAAAACAATGGATCCATTTTTTCCGTTCAGAGCGCTGTCCGCCTACGTCAAGCATTCGATATGTCAATGGACCCAGATGGAACGTTGTCTCCACAATTCCAGTAGTTTTCATTCGACATCTCAAAATATCTTGATCAGTTGGCCTATAGTTTGATGCGAATACACGGTCCAACGATTCGAAAAAATAATTCATATTATCGTGTAAGGCGTATTGATTTCCTTTCTCATAACATTGCTGTACTCCACTATCAGCCCACAGTGATTTAAGAGGATCAAGATATACACTTGGAAAAGGATTACCTTCCGTAATACTTGGCGGATCATTAAATAAATGAAGATATGACACATTATTTTTATCTCCAAACGGTATCCGGAAATATTCCATCGCCTCTAATACAAGTCTCATCGATTGCATTATGTTCAGGAATACTAGTGAACGATAGGTTTCGCGTTCCCCTGCATTGAAACCAGTGGCGTGAATTAATCGCATTTGCTTTAGGATGGTGCTCTTCCCTGACTCTCCTGCTCCCAGTAAAAGTAATTTCACTTCTGTTTTTAGTTTCTTCTCGTCTTCTTTAATAATTCGATTGATAGCTTTATTTCGTTGTTTTTGTTCGTTTTTTGAAACACAATTTCCCATGATGATTTATACTAAGTTGGTATAAAGGGGTTGGGTGAAATAAACACGAAATATTATTATATATGTGGCTGAAAGAAAAGGTCAAGCGACGATTTATTTATTTGATTGATGTGATTGATATTATTATCGAAAATCATTCATCATCGTTGTAACAAACATTATTTGAATATCCATCTATATGCAGAATTGTGCAAAGACGCACTTGTCCGAAATGAACAATTATCAAATCACGTGCCACGTTTCATTTACATCTAAGATTGAGGGTTTATTACTCGTAAAATCTTTGAAACTATTAAGGTTATTATTAGACTTTTTCTTTTTTCCGAACGTTAGAAGAAGAAACTTGTGACAAAGTGCGTCTTGTCTTTTATTCGCCAAACTTTGAAAGTTAATATTTTATAAATAAAGATAATTCGTTTGGTCTTTAAATAAATCTTAGGAGTTGTGCGCTGGTGAAACAAAAAGGGAAAGAAAATAATATTCCGGGAAAGAGAAAGAGTAAGAGTAAAAATAGCATACATGCAAAAATTTCACGTGATTCTTGAATCATTAATAGTTATATGTTTTTTGTTAGATTTACTCTTGTATGATTTAAAAAAAACATGGCACCACCAAATCAGGATAGTTATTCCAGTAATGAGCATTTGGAAAGTCTCGGAAATAGTTTCTATCTTAAAGACAATCAATCGTCACTTAAATTGAATCAAATGTCCCATCAAAAAGAAAGAGGAAAGCAGCCATCATATCACCAAAAATCCGTATTAAATTACAACAAGTCATCATCTCCTCCTCCTCCTCAACAACAACAACAACAACAACAACAACAACAACAGCAACAGCAATCAACAACACGTCATCATCATCGACGTCGTTCTTTTTATCCTTCAATGCTAGCTTTATTTTTTGGACACACTTCTTCCCTATTAATATTTTTATTTCGGCTAATCTTCCAATCCAATAATTTACCACTATTAATAAACTTCATTTATCATTTGGTGACAACTCGATTTTATCTTGGAAAGTCGCGTACACGATACGTCATAGTCAACAGCAACCCTGAACAGTCAGCGACAGCATCAGGCCCTGTTACTTTTGAACTGTTTAAATATTTGGGTGGTTTACATTCTTCATTGGCCGCGTTATCAATTCTGACCTTGATTACTTCGAGAAAGGATCCAGACGTTTCGCTGAATAATGAGAAAATGTCATTGTTGGTTTTGGGAATAGCGAGTGGATCGACCACTTGGTTTGATTTGAGGCAAACTAGTGTTTGGGATCGGTCATTTTACAAGGAGAGACGTGGCGTTTTCAATTTGTTGGTCGCTCTGATGAATGCTGTCGCTTATCTTCGTTCTGTAAAGAAAAGCCGCAGCTTATTTTAGTGTGTCCAAGATTGGAAACTCAAATGAAAGATATGACACTTGAATATTTGGTGGGATTGTGAAAAATCTTGATAAACATCAAACATTACATTCTTTTAATAAAAGACAAATAACATATTCTCTTAAAAATTATATTAAATGAAGATCATATCCACCTGTGATTATTCAAAACCCGCTTTCGTTGGCTAATAATGCATATCAATCTACGAAACTCCGGGACATTAAAGACAAGCCCACGTGACTTATCACATTACACCTTGCGCACCGATTTAGATATCTTTTTCCCGTACTTTTCATTTTCTTGTGCCGGATTTGTTTTGCCGGGTTGGTTGGTATGCTCTTGAAGCCAATTCAAAGAAAGTTATAATCAGAGCTAAGATTATACTACAGCAAAATGTATAACAAAATTTCGCAAGGAACATTTTTGTCAGAACACAAAAGGTAGTTTCATTCATTTGACGCCATCACATGATCCGAGCATTCCGTTCTTTTTTTTTCGCCATGCTGAATGAAAAACACCACAAGAACTCGCAGAAAGACGAAAAAAATTCATCAACCATTATTTTTGAAACTCTTTCAACAAATAATCCATAATGGAGGTTGGGTCTGAATCACGTGATTCGAAGTTTTTCTTGCGTTCTATTCTCTGTTTTAAATATAGTCAATTATGGATATAATGGAGACAACAAAATAGCTATCCATCAAATTCATTATATTAAAAGGCCATATCATATTAATACTTATATAGCCAAATGATCTATGAGAGGTCATATTGATCATTAAAAGTCATTGGCCAACACTGATAGTGGGAGTTTATTTTAACAGTTCTAATATGTGATACAACGGAATTAGAAGCATTATCAGTATAACACCCCAAATTTCGTTACAAACATAATATGAACCAATTTCCATATTTATGTTATAGTGTTCCCATAAATTCACTGACATATGCAGTAGAGTATGGTTTCACAAGATATTTTGAATATGCTGATTTTCTGGTTGGTTGAAGATCACAAGATTAGATATCAATAAATTTTTATATATTGTACTTTTTGCTAACCAAATAAAGATTTCTGAAATTTTTACATTATCGCTTGGCGCTTTGGCAAATGGCCTCCTTACAAAACTCTACTCTATTATTTTCAGTCGACCGCCCGTTTGGTGTCCATTTGTATGACTATTTTGCTCAAGCATACACACTAATCCATGGCAAACATCCCAATGCTTTTTCCTTTAGAGAAGGCATCACGCCTTTATCAACTTGGCCCGAAGTAATCATTACCTGCCTGACATATTTAACGATATTATTCAGTGGACAATACCTTATGAAATCATTACCGGTCATTAAATTAAAACTTGTCTTCCAGATACACAATTTCTTGTTGACTTTAACCTCTTTATCGTTATTATTATTGTTCGCGGAACAAATATATCCTATCGTATATCGCCATGGTTTTTTGTACTCATTCTGTTCACATGACGCATGGAATCAACGTCTTGAATTACTGTTTTACTTGAATTACTTGGTGAAATTTTGGGAATTGGCAGATACTGTTTTTTTGGTGCTGAGAAAGAAACCTTTGGGTGAGCCTTTTGCTGTTTTATTATCTAAACGTGGTGATCGGAAGGAATGAAGGAGGAAACTCAACCTTTTATAATTGATTTTTACTAAAAAATTTTCTTTTTTGATCTATCTTGTAGAATTTCTGCATGTATATCATCATAGTATGACCCTAGTTTTATGTTTTGTTCAATTAGTTGGTCGTACTGTTGTGGTGAGTTAATTTTACATAATCGATTTTTCTTTTATTTTTATCGATTTCAAATAATAGCAATTTACCATTTTTTGATATCTTAACTAACCAAAATATCCCGCACATTAAACATATACACGCGTGCATACACGAAAAAATACATTTCTGAAAAAGTCATGGGTCCCAATCACCTTGAATCTATCAGTCCACGTCGCCATGTACTACTATTATTTTCGCGCTGCAGGTGGAGCAAAGATCTGGTGGAAAAAATATCTTACCACGATGCAAATAGTTCAGTTTATTCTCGATCTAGCGTGCGTGTATTCTTGCACTTACACCTATTTCGCGTTCAATTATTGGCCGAAAATGCCAAATTTCGGGAATTGTGCTGGTGACGAGAATGCCGCGATTTTTGGATGCAGTATTCTGAGCTCCTATTTACTGCTTTTTATTAATTTTTATCGAAAGACTTATCAAAATGCCAGACAATCTAACGCGAAAAGCAGTAAATCGATATAGAATATAATATAAAATAACTATATATAGAACTAGCGATAATGGAATTTTTAACTTAAAAGTAATGTGGTCTCGAATAATAGATTTCTTTTTTAATAATATAATGCAGGTCATATGCAGATTTAAAAAGACAATGGCAAACGTGTCAATATTCTGAGCAATTAAACAAAATTAATTGGGTAAAATTTTATATGAGATCGACAATTCAAAGTTTTGATAAAAATGGAGAGTTCTAAAATGGGTCTTTGGTTAAAGGAAACAGTAATACCAATTGGCAATTTCCATGAAACTACAGAACCCTTCATATACAAAGTTGAAGCACATGATCATTCCTCTCCAAGCGAACTATCTTCGCTTGACCAAGATGATCGTCGAGTCATTGCAACACAAGGCGCTATTTATAATTTGAAAACTGATAACGCGTACTACATTATATGGCGCGTGCTTAAAGATCGAATTCTTGAGCTGAGGCTGTGTACGCTATACTGTGTAAAGTCGGAACAGCCAGGACTGGATCAGGCGTTCAGACAAGCCGTGCAATACGTTTTTCCTGCGAAAATTTTGCCTGGTGTCAGCTTATTTGAAAATGTTTCGACACATACGTTGCAGTTTGTTGTGTTGCTTGATAATAAAGAGTTACATAGGCTCTCGTTACCCTTACGGAATCTGTTTTTGATGAAAAACATGAAATATACACATGAGTCGCATCCAGTTGCCTTATTGCACGGAAAAGAACCAGTTTTATTACACGCGATTAATTATGATAGCTCTGCGATTGGATGTGATGATGGATCTGTTCTGTCAATTTACTATGATAGGGATACAGGTACGCGTGTGAAAAGAAAACATTACTTAAAAATTGGAAATATTGTAATGAACTCTTGATCTTTGACATTTGTTTTTTTCGTATACTATTTAGTAAAATATCTTAATTAAATGAATAAACTATATTTTCCATCGTAGTCGTACCAAGATTTCGAGAAGATCAAGTGACAAATAAGATAATGGCTCAAATAGCAGAAAATCTTCAATATGTCAAAGACATGCCAAAGATTTTCTTCTCGAAAATGATCTTTTGGCCAGAACCTGAACGCGGCGCATTTATGACTGGAAATGATGAATATAAACTATCTAGACCAATTGCATTCGATTCATATCAGGATCAAAGATCAAATAGATTTCTCGTGTGGATTTGCAATGATCAACAAGTTAAAGTTTGGTCTCTACATAAGAACCGAGACCATCTTACCGATAACTCTTTTGTGATATCGGCAACAGAAACGGAAGATTTCTCGACTTCATCAGTGTTTAATAGTTCTCGAGGTCTTGTCAAGGTTATTCCACCTGTGACAAATAATTCATTGACATTCAGCTTTATAATATTTTTGTCTACTCCCCAGAACAAAAATTTTTTTGTTCTTTATCGGGTGGCTTTTCACTCAACTGGTGATCTGAAATATCTGCAGAGAGTTGAAAAGATACCAATCGAGAATGAGAACTCAGATGAGCTTCCTCTATTCAGCAATCTAGTTGATTTTTCGTTGGTCGAATTGAACGATACTCATGAGGCACCACAAAATCAACGACAGTTTGAGTTGTGGGCTGCCTTGCAAGGTCAAGAAAATCAAATAAGACCGACAATATTATTCACTAAACTTTCTTTAAATTTCGCGCATCTTATAGATAAAGACGAAGATGATGTCGAATGTGAATTTTCTAATGATTGGAATATAGTATCCTGCCCAGAAACCCCTTTCAATCCTTCAGAAATTGTCTCTCGACAACCAAATATTACTGAAAAAGACATTGACGCGGCTTATTTGAATTATATCTTTTACCCTGGTCTATTTTCGAGATCGTCAATTATTCGAAGTCTGCGTGATTTCGAAAAAAGGTTCATAGTTCAAACTACGATAAATAGAACGGAAATCAATGGACAGAATCAGCAGTTATCAAATCTTCTACAAAATTCTGATCTTGATCTCAAAGATTACGCGTGCAAATTGATAAAGAAGAGACTCTCCGCTAAAAACCACCGTCCTGAAGAATATTGCGAAAATTTGTTCAGGAGTTGGGAATCAGTAAAGCAATTTTGTCAGATATATGAAATCTATGCTAGGGTGCCATTAAGACTATGCATTTTCCCAGCTTCAAGCATTGTCACAGTGATCAATAGCGAAGCTATTACATTTGTACGATGTTGTGAAGAAATTGAGGTTTTGGAGGGTTATACTAAAAGAAACTTTTATCATAGCCTGAATTCAGGATTATTGACATCAAACTTATTGAACGAAAAATATCCATCGATAATCGATGCTAAAACTCGATCCGACATACTTAAACTACTTAATGCCGCTAATCACATGGTGAGACATATAGAAACTTTTGATATGGTCTTGATCGAAAACGAAATTAGTGCAATTTTGTCTGATGCTTCCACGGCATCAGCTCTTACTTTTGATATTGAGTACTTCTATAATCATTATCTCAAGAAACACATCACAAAGGAAACACTTCAGCTTATAAATGATTCTGTGGATTCGTGTGATCGTTGGGCAAGAACATTGCGCAGAATATACGAAGCTTTGCTATGTTGTGCGCTTCCTGAGGCTGAAGAAAATTTTCCGGGCGAGGATTCTCATTTAGAACCCAGCGTACTTACAGATGCACTAATTGCTTCTACCACTTCTGAAATTATCCGATGTCGATTCACAATCTGCCGAGATTTATTTCTCCTATTAGTCATCTTGGTGTTATTTGAAAAATCAGATTATTCAAAAAACGTTTTGTCAATGTGTATGGCAACATTATATCCACAAATTATTCTCAAATGGGTATCCTCACAATCATTGCCATCTGATAAAAACCATTTAAGAGTGGCACCCAATACTTCAAATAATGATGATTTGATTACGGCTCTTTCGAGTCTAAGTCTCAAACCAGTCACCATAGCTACCGGCTCCACAAAATTTGTGCGATATAGTTTACTTCACAGTCTGCTGCACTTTAAAATGAGGATTCGAGTAGACATAAAAAGAGGATTTTCCGAGATATTATCGGTGGCTTCTCATGATTTTTTAAAGCAGATCGGCTTTTATCCAGAAGTTGCTTCATATATCGTCGGTACTAGGAATTCTTTTATTGATTTCGGAATATTTCTTGATCAAAGCAATCAGCTTGGATTACTATATCATTATCTTCAATTACTTGTTGGTAATCCGGGTGTCTGCTTTCTGTGGGGTAAACTTTATCTTAAATGTGGAGTATACGAAAAAGCACAAGAATGGTTTCAAAAGGCCGCCGTCGGATTTGGTATGTTTTCTATGGGTATTATTGGATAGGTTTGGTTGATGGTATCTCATTTCGAAGATTTCTAAGTATTAAGTATCATGGGGATGCATTAATTATGAATGGATTTAATAATCGGAAAATTTTATTTAGTCTCGGATGTAAAAGATAGACCATATACTTACCCACCTCCGGTGAATCCACAACCTCGAAATTTAGCTGGATATTGGCAAACAATCGGTCAAGAGTTTAAAACTTACAATCGACCAAGCAATGTAGTTCGTTGTTGTCACCTTGCTCTAAGAGCTTTCAGTGATCAAGAGGTTGAGATCAATTTAATGATTTCAATTCCGATAAAAATTTCACTTTTTTGACCCGTATCATCCAACTGTTTCAGCGAAAATCACCAGAGGGTAAAGAATTGATGATCGAACTATGGCACACTATGTTTAAAAACGCGTTAGCTGCAGACTTATACGAAGAGGCTTTTTTAGCGATGATGGAAAATCCAGATAAGGAGAGGTAAGAAGAATGAATAATAAAGATAGATGGCGTTTCTCTGCAAATTTTATTCATTAATCACCAATATAATTAATCTCTTTGAGGATATCATAGACAAAAAACATGTCTCCGTGAATTTGTTGAGATCATGTGCAAGAAAGATGAAGCTGAGAAACTTTGCCAATTCGCATTTCATCTTCTTGAGGAAGAATTCGAAGCTATCTTAGACAAGAAGGCCCATGAATCCAAGCCAAAAGAAGCTCCAGATTATTCAATGATCGCTTACTCTTATTATATAAATAATGGTGATTATGTGCAAGGTATGAATAAGATGCTTATCATGGGTCGAGTGGTGTAAATTGTATTAGAAATTCTAATACAATTTACACCGTTTCCATTGCACTCGACAAATATTTTAATATAAGTAATGACAAAATTTACATTTTCCATTTGATCAATATAGCCGCCAAAATTATGTATCATTTTGCTCAAAAAGTTGACGAAATGGATATCTCATCAGATGAATTCAGTCATTGGATAGCTCGACAAACACAAAGTTATCTAGCTGCAGTTAATTCATTAGAATTGGTTGAAGAAAAGAAAGCTTGGTTCAATTATCCTCGGAAAGTTCAATCTGGAGATGATAATAGAGTAAGTTGTTATGGTTTTTTTTTGTTGTATTTTTTCTTCATCCACGTATAAACAAGAAAGCTTTTGAAATTTACAGAAACGGAAACGACAGAAGCTTAATTATATTTTTGGTAATTGATATACTGTAAGCCTTTTTTTACAAGAACATGAAAATTTAATTAGATCTTGATTTTCTTTTCTTAAATGAGTTAGATGACAAGTCACAGCAAACCAATGGTTCTCACAAAGAAATTGATATAATTGAACTTAAAGACATTAGGAAGGATTACGCATTTTCCATAATTAAATTAAAGCTTGCAAAAGATTTTGAATACAAAGGTAAAATATTGCTAGCGCACTCATTGCTATGATAGTATTTTAAGGTGATGACTTTACATTTTTTATTTAATAGAGAGAATCTTGGATCCTGAAGACGCTATCGTCTTATGTTCGCGCTATGGTTATTTTGAAGATGCATTTAAACTTGCTGCTGAATATGATCTGGATATGAGCCCCATTTTTAGTGAATTGGCCTGGAAATGCGTACGATTATCAACCAATGAGGTTTTTGATATGAGAAAGATGTAAGTTTTGTTTGCAATATGTTGTTTGGAAATGTGAACCTTTTATATTACGAACAACTCAATACGGTCGTTCTGTTTTCATAGAATATTTGACTTTCAACATATCGGGCATCGTGCTAATGCTTTACATGGTTCCGATTCTGAAAAAGCATGGAAATTACTTCAGTTTTACTTGGACGAGTATGATATTCAAACGACCGAATCAAAATATCGAACAGTGGTGTTAAGGAAAATTTTAGAAACTAATAATCAAGCAGTAATTCCGCCTTGGTTAACTTTGGCTTTTAAGGTAATTTTGTTAAAAGTGATGATACTTTCTCTTTCGCTGCTTTAACTAACAAACTATGTGTCAAAAGAAAAATAATCAAGATATCTACCTAAAGATCATGCTGGAATTCAGGTGTTTACCGGAAGCAACTCGATTCGCTTTGCATATTATTCACCAAGTAAAATAATTTTCGATATATTTTTGAATGGTCGTCTTTATCTTGTCAGGCTTAGCATTAACCCTTTAATATTTGTTGATAATAAGGAGGAGGAAAAAGAGACGTTAGAACCATTATCAAGATGGGTCCCGTGGACATTAATAGAACAATTATTAGTTCAAATAAAAGATGCAATTCAGTCGGTTTCAACTGAGCAAGAATTGTTAAGGGGTCTTGGAGACGAATTGCAGAATCAATTAGATTTATATTTTGGTAAAATCGTTCAACAACAAAATGATAATATAGAGAATATATACTAAAGATTTCAAGTTCATGACTTGTAATAAAATTTAACTGGATATCTATCACGCATCGAATTTTCTTCAGCCCGTTATAATATAGATCACCATTTATCACTCATAAATTACGTATGTTATGATTAATAGAGAAAAGAAATCACTGCTATTTACTTTTATGTCTCCTATGTCTCCTTATCAATGTTTTGAAAATAACAATAACTAGCTATCGCACATCATCTGTTTGTCATACATTGTCATCATAAGAAAAAATTCTCGTTGAGATTACCAATACCTTTTATCATTATTATTAAAACAATTACACTTGACATTTTATTCATTTTCAGCCAGAAATGTTAAATTCTCTATAATAATGTTATCATCATTTCTTTGCGAAAACCAAAGTATTAATCTGGAACAACAACGGCAAGAAAAACAAAACGTCGAAATTTTCTCAACTGCAGAAAATAATAACATGGAAGCACATAATGGGAATAATTTTGGTGAAAATAACTTTATTGTAAATAATAATGAAAACGAAGCAACATTTAAAACTGGCGTAACAGAAGAAATTAATGCAAATATAACTAAAATGGCATCAACAGATATAAGTACAACAACAAACACTACAAACACTCTAAATCCTACATTATTCATACCTAATAATGGCCCATTTATACAGCAGCAACCACCACCACCAGCAACACCAACCTCAGTACCAGCACCAATACCAGCACCAATACCAGCACCAATATCACCACAACAACAACAACAAGCTCCAGTTGTTAAAAAAAGGGGACCTGGTCGACCTAGGAAATCAGAAAAAATTGAAAATACAACTGGAGGAACAAGCGGGACTCTTACCTTTTCACTAAATAATCAAGCAAAAGAAGTCACTGCCCGTATCCGGCAAGTTGAATCTTCTCCAAAAACTCGGCCAAGAAAGTATAAAAAGAGGCGAGCGCAAGAATCTGAAATCACCAAAGCACCCCCTGGTGCTGAAGCTCAAGGCATGATTAATAATATTATTGTTAATAATAATAATAATAACAATAACAATAACAATAATAATAATAATCCATCATTGGCATCATCATCACTTCCAATAATAGCACCATTATCGTCGCCTTCATCATCATTTTCATCAGCTTTAGAATCATCATCAGCTCTAACCTCATCAACGTCAAAGAATGATAAAAAACGTAATGCGGATGGTGAATCAAAAGATTGTTCGTCAAATAATATCAATAATAATAAGAATAAGAATAATACTAATGGTACTAAAAAATACGCCCCAAGAAAAAAAGCTAAGACTTCCGAAAAGGCAAAATCTACCACGCTAACACCAATAAAAATTGAAAAAAAAATATCACCTCTGGAGGCATTACGTAACGAACGATTAAAAGAAAAAGAAGCTGAACTAGCAAAAGTTGTCGATGATCACGATACTTTGGTTCGAGAACATTATTATATGGAAAATTTTAATGTATCGGTCTTAGAACTCGACCGACAACGATTAAAGCAAGATAATAGTGAACGTATGGTTAAAGTACGACAATTTATGTTATTCTGCTGTCAAATTCTAGTAATCTTATAATAAAATTTATAAATTTATATTTAAGATGCGTATTGCAATCAATTGATATTGAAGATTCCTATTTACATATGTCATTTTTTTTATCTCATTACATCAATATTAATTCTCAATGAATATTCCTTTTTATCAATCAGACTCTTGAGAGTCATAACTTATGGTCGACTATGAGTGATCAAGTCCTCAATACTGTACAAGCAAACTCTACGAGAATGTCAACACGCCGTTCAATCAATCAACATCGTGATTCTCTCGTGAATATGCTTAAATCAGTTGGTTCCCATGGATTAAATTTAGCAGAGGCGCCTACCTTAGCGCCAACCACACGAAGCAGCGGGCGTGTTAAAAAAATTGAACCTGAAACTAGTCCAACTATAAGTTCTTTTACATCTAGTTACACGCTTCGTCGGAGTCGTGGACAAGCACAATTCCCGAATGTTGATGCGTATCTCGCCTCATTTGTCACTCTAGACGATGAAGACATTACACCAGCTGAAGCTGAAGTACGTGCAGAACATGAATCAGAGGTTCTATTTCGAATTTATTCGTTAAAGCAACAAGGACGATTTATCAATAAGCCAATAAAAGCTCTCGCGGAACCTCGTCATCCTTTAGTCCATAGGGATCATATGCTTGAACATGTGATATCACGGTCAAAGCTCATGAATAAATCGATTGATAATAAGCTTAAAGTTACCAGGCAAATTAGTCGGATGATTCAACAATATCACAACAAAATAGCAAATCAAGGAACAAAAGAGAGAAAATTAGAAGAAAAAAGGCTCAAAAAGTTGGCTAAATCCACATCAAATCTTATAAAGCAAAAATGGAAAACAGTAGAATCTGTAAGTTTATTATCGAAGTTCCGAGTCATTATTATTAGCTTAGGATTTCAGTGTGTGTAACATTTTTGCTTGATTTAATATATTTTATTTGCTTACGCATGCGGCGAAATAAAAAACTTATTATGTTCATATTCTCATTATATATCTACTAAATTCCTTAGATTATATTGGCGAAGCAAAAAGAGATCATACGAGAAAAACAGGAACGTGAAGGAAAACGTCATTTGAATCTTCTTCTTGAGCATTCGACTCAAATGTTGGAAGTTCAACAAAATGAGCTGTCTGGATCATCATCATCTTCTTCTTCTTCCTCTTTTAATTCTTTGCATGGAACATTTTCAATGTCACAGAATTTCATTCCAAGTCTTGTGACAGTTGAAGAAGAAGATGAAAGTTTTCAGGGAGAATCCTTTTCTGATTTGAACACATTCTCTTCAGAAGTCGAGTCTTCCGAGGAGGATGATGAAATCAAAAAGTTAAAAGCCGAAAAGGATATGACATTAGAGGAATTATTAGAAAATTATGAATATCCATTGGAAGATGATCAACTTTCGCATGAAACTATTATTAAAGCTCAAAATGGAAAACCAGAAAGTGATTTCGAAGGTGTTTTTGAATCTGATGATGAATTTGATTTTGGTGATGTTTCAGAGACAGAAATGGAATACGCAGAATCTGAACAAGAAGATAATGAGGATAACGACGAGTATAAGAAAAAAACCGACACAAAAAACAAAGGAAAACAGAAAGCAAGTTCAGATAATGAGGAAATTGAATCTGAAACTCAGAGTTCGGAATCTCCACTTGTTGTTTCTCATCCGCCTACTGGTACGACATTATCGACTGCTGTAGTCCGAACAAAAATCCCGATGTTACTTCGTGGTCAGCTTCGTGAATATCAACATGTGGGTCTTGATTGGCTTGCAAGTTTATACAATAACGGACTAAATGGGATCCTTGCAGATGAAATGGGTCTTGGGAAAACCATTCAGACCATAGCACTATTGGCTCATCTCGCTTGTGAAAAGGGTGTTTGGGGACCACACTTGATTGTTGTTCCTACAAGTGTAATTATCAATTGGGAGATGGAATTCAAGAAATGGTGTCCAGGTTTTAGAATTTTGACATATTACGGAAGTCCAAGGGAACGAAAAGAGAAACGTCTTGGTTGGTCAAAAGAGAACACTTTCCATGTATGCATAACTTCTTATCAGCTTGTTGTGCATGATCAGAATGTATTCAAAAAGAAGAGATGGCATTACCTTATTCTCGACGAAGCGCATAATATTAAAAATTTTAGATCGCAACGATGGCAAACTCTATTAAATTTTAATTCTGTGAGGAGATTATTACTTACTGGCACACCACTACAAAATAATCTCATGGAGCTTTGGTCGTTACTTTATTTTCTGATGCCTCAAGGTGTTTCTCAGGCAATGCCAATTGGATTCGCCAATCAAAAAGAGTTTCAAGAATGGTTTTCACATCCTGTGGATAAAATGCTAGAAAATGACGAAGAAATGAGTGACGAAACACGTGAAGCGGTTTCCAAACTACACACTGTATTACGGCCTTATCTCCTACGTCGTCTGAAAGCTGATGTCGAAAAGCAACTACCCGGAAAATATGAACATATAATATATTGTCGACTTTCAAAGCGTCAAAGATTTCTTTATGATGATTTCATGTCACGCGCTAAAACCAAAGAAACGTTACAATCGGGAAATTTCTTAAGCATCATAAATTGCTTAATGCAATTGCGTAAAGTCTGTAATCACCCGGATCTATTTGAGGTCAGGCCCATCCGAACCTCTTTTGCGATGTCAAAATCAGCGGTAGCCGATTATGAAATTAAAGAATTGTTAGTTCGTCGACGTCTATTGCAAGAAACTGATGAAAAAATCAATTTGGAATTTTTGAATCTTGTGCCAAGGCAATTCGAAGGAATATATGATTGGTTGGTAGCAAATGAATGGGGTCATGTAAATCCAGATATTAAATTCCGGAAGCAAATTGAAGACATTGATCTGACATTAAGAGGAATTCCGCCAACACCAGTCAATCATAGTAAATTGTCTCAATTCAACCAAGCAATTCAGAAATATAACCGTATTCAAACTCGTGAACGCTGGGCTCACATACAATACATCAATTTATTTCGTCTAAAGCGTCGCCCAATATATGGTACAGGACTTATAGGACTTTGTCGACAGCTTGGAGCTACTCCATGTGATACCGCATTTTCAACTGCCATGAATCCTAGAGCTTACTGGAATCGGGTTGAATCGATGACAGACTTAATAAAAACATACGAACAAAGGTATGAAATGATGGATGAAATCATTAAAAGATATGCGTTTGTTACTCCGGAGGTTGTTGCAAAAGATGTTGCTTCGTTTGCTTTGGCCGAGATGTCGGAAGAATTGCGATACAAGATTCATAATGAAGTACAAGATTTATATCATCCGATTCGTGTTAAACTTCAAATAGCCTTCCCGGATAAACGTCTATTGCAATACGATTGTGGCAAGTTGCAGAAACTTGATGAACTTTTACGTAATCTCAAAGCAGATGGACACCGAGCACTTATATTCACTCAAATGACGCGAGTGTTGGACATTCTTGAAATATTTTTAAATATTCACGGACATCGTTATCTTCGACTTGATGGAGCTACAAAAGTCGAGCAGAGACAATTGTTAACTGAGCGATTCAATCATGATCCAAAAATCTTGGTATTTATAGCTTCTACTAGGTCCGGTGGTCTTGGAATCAATCTTACTGGTGCTGATACGGTGATATTTTATGACTCTGATTGGAATCCTTGTATGGACCGTCAATGTCAAGACAGGTAAATAAAAAGTTCTCATTTTATATAGTTAAAAACGTTTTCGTTAAAATGCTTTGATTGATTGCAGGTGTCATCGTATCGGACAAACAAGAGACGTTCATATATATCGATTCGTAAGCGAATACTCGATTGAGGAGAACATGCTGCGGAAAGCAAATCAGAAGCGGATGCTTGATAATCTCGTAATAACTGAAGGCGAATTTACCACCGATTATTTCCAAAAAATGGATTGGCGAGAGCTCCTTAATGATATTGCTCCCAACCAAAATAAGAAGCTTGGCCCAGAACCTCCACTCACTGGGACAGAATTGGAGAACTGTCTTGCTCAAGTAGAAGATGATTCTGATGTAACCGCTGCGCGTATTGCGAAAAACGAGATGGATTTGGATATTCGCGAATTCGCAGAAGAGACGCCATCTCAACCGCGGCGGTCGAGTGTGTCTACAGTTGCTTCTCCTCTTCACGATTCATTGGAGATTGTTGAGGATGAATATAAAGTGGATCATGTGGACAATTTTTGTCTTCGATTTAAGGAGTGGGAGTTGGGGATTGATGTTGGATTTGGGGGTTTGAAGGAGGGGAATCAAATAAATAAATAAAACTTTTCACCCAAAACTCATTTTTTGTGTTGATATTTTATCGTTATATATCGAATTTTTTAAATCCGAGAATTGCTCAATGTATGTCATGTGACGTATCAGTAGTTGATCAAAATAAATGTGCAGTGTTATCGTCACATTTTTAACATTAATAGCTTTAGAATCCACATTTATAAAACCAAATTCTTTAAGCCGCAATTCTATATAAAAATGACGGAATACAAGGGCGGTTCCTCCGAAGGCCAAAGACAAGTGATGCTAGAAAAGCAGCGTGCCAAGATGTTAAGTGATTTTGAGAAGCAACGAGAGAAGATCGCGAAAGTGAGTAAGTTGTTTCCTTGAACCTTAACTAGCCTCGTGTATATGTAATCCTTACTTCTATGACGCGTTGTAAAGCTAAAACAGCTCTCTCAATAAATAAAAACTATTAGGATAACCAAGTCAACATAACTGCCAATAAGTTTGTGACTCATTACGATGATGTAGAAGATTCTCTAAAGAAGGAAACTATTGGTTTAGTTAGATTAGAAGAGTTTCAAAAAATTCGCAAAGAACTTGAAGTTCAAAAAGAGCGTGAAGCCGCTCGAACTGCCGAGCTAAGGTGGATTTTTTTGGTTTTGGTTTAAAAAGAAATTAAATTGGTATGAAGTTAGACTGATTCATTTTTATCATATTCAGAGAAGACAAATCGAAGAAAGTAAAGAGAAAAAAAAAAGAAAAATCAAAATTGTCATTTGACATTGATGGAGAAGAAGCAGAGGGAGATGATGTGGTGGGGGATGGAAAGGATTTAGCAATATCTAATAATGACAAAAATATAGAGAACGTGAAAACGGATTCTACTACGGATGATATTAGTATGTTTGGTTTGTGACGATTGTTTTAATTTGGATTATTTTCTTTTGGTACTTGAATAAACTTAATTTCCACCCCCCCCAAAGATATCGTGCAACCTCCAAAGAAAAAGCCAAAACTCGGTAAAAATCCAAACGTTGATACTTCATTTTTACCTGATCGGGAAAGAGAGGAAGAAGAACGTAAAGAGAGAGAAAAACTACGTTTGGAATGGTTGACAAAACAGGAAGAAATTAAAAGTATAATTTTTGATATATCCACCATAATGTGTAATTGATAATGTACAATTTATTAACTCGTGATTTTCAAAGACGAAAAAATCAGTATCACGTATTCCTATTGGGATGGTACAGGCCATCGTAAGACAGTTACATGCAAAAAAGGTGATACGATTGGGAATTTTTTAGAGAAGTGTCGACAGCAATTTCATGAATTGCGTGGCGTTAGTGTTGATAACATGATTTATGTTAAGGAAGATTTAATTATTCCACATGTATGTATCTTCCCTAGTTAATTACATGCATATATTAAGTAATTTTACGTTCACATATTAACGAGTTTTACATTGAAATAGCATTATACTTTTTATGATTTCATAATCAATAAAGCAAGAGGAAAGTCAGGCCCTTTGTTCAGCTTTGACGTGCATGATGACGTGCGGTTAACACATGATGCTACCGTCGAGAAAGACGAGGTATATTGTGATTATGATGATTGATTATAAAATATTTTTTTTCATTTTTATTATGCTCATATTTGTTAATTTAAAAAATCCGAATTCAAATAATTTGTCTAGTCTCATGCAGGTAAAGTGGTCGAAAGGAACTGGTATGAAAAGAATAAACATATTTTTCCCGCCAGTCGATGGGAAATATACGATCCGGAAAAAAATGCAAGTAGAAATTGTATAAATAACAGCGCATCATTTTTTTTTATACGAAATATTTACTCACTTTACGAATTTTCATGATTACAGTATGGAAAATACACAATCAAGGACACCAACAAGAAGACTCCTGTATAGTTGACAAATTTACCTTAGAAAGATCATAATATTAGAAACTAGTATTTAATATTAATATTTAAAACTAATATCTTTTTTCATATTAAAATGTATATTAAATCACATATGCAATAGTGAATTAATTTCAATTCGTTAAACTTTGCTTGTAAAATTCAGTTCATCGTATAGACCTTTTATTTTTAGGTTATTTATTGGTTTTTATAATTATTACAACCATAAAAACCAGTATTTTTACATAATTGAATCCAGCACTTATATTACATGAATAATATTGTTAATTGTCGTTTGCTTCCTCATATAAAATACGGTGTTATTTATATAAAACGTGATCAAAAATGTTCTTTATGGAAATTAAATATAACACCGGGAGTAGTCACTCTCTTTGTTTCAGCCTTTATACTCTTTGCCAATACATTCGGACCACAATAATAAACGCCGACATTAGTAGAGACATCACGCACTTTACCCGGTAAATATTCTCCATTTTCGATTCGTCTTTTCATTTGATCGAAAATCGACGTGAAATTTGGTCGACCATAATGAGTTCTCGAGGTGAGATAAGTCAATGGATCGTATTCTCCCTTTACATCATTATAGATGATATTTTCGATGGTGGAATGTCGTAGTTTCGAAGTGAGATAAATGTGAAATTTGAGGAACCCACTCTCCATTTTTGTTGATTCGAACAATTTCAGAAGGGATTGAAACCATTCGAATGATCCTATTTCGCGACATATCCAAAAGAGTTCTACACGGCGTAGTTTTGATGGACGATTATTTTTATGTTGATACCTAATAATGAAGATCGTTTATTAGTATGTCATAACGAAATGACTTTTTATTTATTTATCTATCTAATATTTTAACTTACCAAATATTTTTTAATACGGAAGCAAAAGGGGTAACTCCAATTCCACATCCAATCAAAATTGCAATCTCATTTTTAAATACATCTTCAGCAGGAGCACCATATGGTCCATCAATCTTAAGAGAAGGTAATTTTAATGTAGACAGAGAGATCTCTTCTTGTTTATTCATTTCATCATATTTTGTATCTCCTTTTTGATCACCTCCTCTATTATAATCCGTCTTGCAGCCAAATAAATCACCAAGTGCCGTAGTAAAATCACCAACTTGTCGAATATGTACAGAAACGTAAGGATCATCGGGTGCTGAAGTGATAGTAAATGGATGCCATTGAAGCTTGGAAATTTCGGGAATATTTAGAAACAAATATTGCCCAGGTTTATAATGGAATGAAGGTTTCGAAAACTGAAGTTCGATAGTTCTTTCTGGGTGAGAAATAACTTTAGTGATTTGAGTTGATTGTCGTGCTCTGATCTCGCGTAATATACGTTCAAATAAATAAAACCCTCCAGACCAAATAGTGAATCTCCATGATCGATAACCTTTACACACGTTATTTGCTGTCCTCACAAAACATCCATACCCATGAAAATATAAACATAGCATAAAAAAGAATGCCAAATGATGTGTATACCAAAATGTCTCGAAACTCGTTTTCCTGATTTTATTATGTGCTGATGTGTACATTAATAACATCATTAGCAACATTGCATGTCCGGTGAGTCCTCCCCATGTCTCATAATGTGTTTTCCATGCTGGTCTCGCTCCATTGGTAATCATCTCTAATCTGTAAAAATTTATATAATGTGAAAATGTGTGCACCAATGTCCAGAGCAACATCGAATATGCGACTTGTCGATGAAACCAAATATTCTCATCGAATGGAATGATACGAGAAAGAAATGTAAGTCTCAAATACTTTATCACATTTCTGAGAACTGGCAACAAGATTATTGCCCCGTCATACGCCAAACATAGTCCAGCACCACGTGACATCCATACCGATAATTGAAGCACATTTAGATTCGCTAGCTCTGGATCGTCTTTTTGCTTAAGAAAGCCGTAAACAAAAAGTCCAATGTGACTAGTAAACCAAAATATCCAAAAGGCGAGACGTTTTGGTGCGAATTCTCGCTTAAAAAACGAATCAGGCATTGTTGTATGTTGTTTTTCCAAGATTTAATAAATTAAACAAATATCTTGTATGATGATTTTTAACCTTTAAATTAGAGCGAACGAAGAGCGTATTATATATGAGAGGGAGCAATGAAGCTTTAGAACCTGCTAAAGTTGTTTAGGAGAAAATTACTGATTCGGCAAACATATTATATGACATTTTCTGTGACGCGCAAACGATATTTGGTTTCACGCTGAAATTCATCAGCGGAAATAATGTCCATTTTAGAACAGGAGAATACACCAAATAAAGTTATCACTAACTCATTCATTATCGTTATACATAGTGGGGATGATAATATCGTTAGATTACAATTACGCGTTATTTTTCTCGTGTAACTTTTTTTATGAAGAGAGTAAGGAAATTTTCTCCTGTATCACTTTTGTATGATTCACAACTCGAAGTATCTAAAAATGGCACAATGTCACGCTTATCTTCAAAAAAATATATCGGGTTAGAATCAGTGCTAATATTATATATATAATTTCATCTTGCATGGAATCCATGGTATCTAAAATTTCACCTCACATAGCAAAAACGTGCAGATCATTATGATGATAAAAATTCGGTAACTTTGAGACACGATATCTCGACGTCCAACTGTTCAATTTTGATTAAAAATAGTGTTCATACTATTCGTCTAGATTAGAAGAATCAAATGGACCTATTTTTGTTCAAATTGGACAATTGGACGTCGAAATATCGCGTCTCAAAGTTACTGAATTTTTAAAAATATGCAGTAAGTTCATCAATATTCCGAGATTTTCAATGGCCGCAAATTAAATCTTATTTGCGGAACATGCACAATTTTAAAATTCATTTGTGGGAAGTCAAAAAATTTATTTGCGGAACCCGCATGTGCATATCAGATTTTGGTTGCGGAAAATTAAAATCGTTTGCGGTCCACGGTCCGCAAAGCTCCGCAAGTCAATTTTAGACACTGCTTTGCTAAAAGTCACATTATCAATAATAATGATGTACGGGTTTTATGAGTTGGGTCGTGGCATTGGAAAAACAACAAAAATGGGATGGGAAAAAAGCTATATAAATGTATACAAAGTCCGTGTTGTAAGAAAAAAATGAAAAAAATTCTAATAATCTTCACAGGGAAAAGAAACATTACTAATCAGTATATAATTATTAATTCATAAAAAATGATATGGTCCGGTGCAAAAATGTAGATACACCAAAAAATAAAATTTTTAGTTGTCTCTAATGAAAAATTTGTAAAATCTAATTAATGGTTATAATTTTTTTATATTAAATAAAATAGGTTTCAATCTATCTTTTTATATTATTTTTAATATTTTTTATACTTTAA